TGAGAGATACTGAGTCTTAGAAATGCCTTGCCTGCTGAAGAAATGAATGAGAGATACTGATTCTCAGAAATGCCTTGCCTGTTGAAGAAATGAATGAAAGATACTGATTCTCAGAAATGCGTTGCCTGTTGAAGAAAAACACACCATTTTTCTCTCATCATCTGTCATAAAAATAAGACTGAGTACTCTGTGTTATAAAGGGCCTGGAAAAAATGACAGAAAGATGGGAGGATATATTTGTGTCACCTTTCTGCAAATTTGACAATTTCCATACAACATTTTAAGTACATTTTCTGCCCAGAAAATCCACTTGGAAAAACTAATTTTATAAAAATATTTGAGCAAGTTAAAATATGTATTATTCAAGAAAATCCTCAAGGCATTCTTAAGTGGTGCTGCTATCAGCTTACATAAAAGAAAAACTCGGCCATCTAAAAAAAAAAATACATGAGAATGGAGTAGTAAAAAGCAAAGAAAAAGGAATGTTAAATAATGGTCAGCATTGATGCCCACATGACAGACACATTCATAGGACAGAACATCGTGATGTCATTTAAGGTCCATGTTGATATGGGAAAATGGTACAGCACTTGAAGCGAAAGCAGCTCGCTATGAGATGGAAATATTCTAAAAGTGGGTTATGGTGATAATCGTGCAATTCTATAAATTTAATAAAGTCATTGCACTCAAAATGAGAGAACTAGATGGTATGTGATTTACACATAATTTTTTAAAAAGGAAATTGGCTACAAAATACTATGTTGAGTATGAATTTCATCTCTCTCTCTCTCTCACACACACACATACACAAACACACACACATACCTACAGCCCAGAAGGGTATATCCCCCCATAACAATTGTGGGTACGTTGGGTAGTGTTAAATTTACACTTTCCAGAATTTCTTCCAATTTACTTTCATAATCAATTCTGAGCGGATGTGTGTGTTGAAACACCCCAGCTGGCAAATCCTCAGTGAGTGTCATTCCCTAACTTATTTTCAACAACAAACATCTAAATGGCCATCTTAATCTTTGCTCAGACTCCTTTTCACAATTTGTTGAAGCCTGCGTCTTCTCTGCCGTCCTACTTCACCGACTCTCCCGAAACACTGCACGCAGCTCTTTATCTCCACACTCCAGACAGTGGGAGCAGCAGTGTCACCCGGGCAGGATTTCTCAGGTCCTCCATGGAGGCCGTTCTCCAGCACTCTGTCATGAAGTTCCCAGGAGCCCAGTCTGCTCATATCCGGTTCCCATTGCCAGCTTGGAATTGCTTATGCTGATGCCTATTCTCTAGGCCCCCTCAAAGACCTTTAAGCGAACCCGTTTTGACTTTTTAGATTCTTACAGGTGGTTCTCAATGTGGCCTGGGAACCATGGGTGGCCCATGAGAATCCTCCAGGTGGTGTCTGGACTTAATATTGATACACATACCTAGCTCTCTGGTTTTGGCCTGAAGTTAAATTGAAATGTCATTGAATACAATCCAGAGATGACCTCACCCGTCCCTCATCCAGTGCAGAGCTATTCATCATCCTGGCCACAGTTCTGCAAGGACAAGTGGGACCTGGTAGACTTGACACTGAACAGGGGCTCTTGCTTGAAGGATGATGCAAACATCATCCTGTAAACAAGCCAAGATCCAGATGTTACCTAGAGGAAAGGAGGTGACCTACTGTAACATTTGCAGTGGCCAAGCCCAGGAAGAGCTGAGAAAAGCAAAGAGTGCCCATCAAATCTGAAAACCCATCAAAGGGTAAAAATGAATTCTTCCCCAAAGCTTTCAGGATCCGCATTAATTTGGCAACTCCAACGATGAACATCATCTAACAACCCCAGAGACTGAGATCACCAAGTGTTTATTGCCAAAGTAAAAGGAGAAAATGTGAAGTCGCTGCTTAACCGCAGCAGTGTTGTGAGCTGCATTTTGAGCAGAACGCAGTGGAGCAGGGCTCCGCTGGAACAGGCTGTGTGCAGGAAAGGTTTCACCTGTTTCCCCACGAAACCCAGGCTTGTTGCCACAGCCTGGTTCTCCCAGTTCATGTTGCACCACAAAGGAAAGAAGAGATCAGACACAAATCAAATCGACACGGGTTATTGATTGAGTAGTTTTACCTATTAGGAAAATAGCCTTCTCTAACCCCCAACCTAGTTAAAAGTTTGTGACTCCCTTTCCTTAAGTGGAAGCTCATGAGGTGTCTCTCAACAACAACTGTCTTTAAGACAGGACAGCAGACAGATGACACAAAGGTGGAAATATATAGTCTCAAGAACTAGTGTTTCATTCCTAGACTCCCAGTGATCCTCCCAGGAGGAGGATCAGTGATGGAGGATCTTGGTGATGAGGATAGAAGGGAAGGCAAAAGCCAAGGAAGTTATGTTTGCATTGGTAAACAGAGGCATCCATGGCTGAGGGGTGAGTAAGGCTGTGGCTGTCCAGAGTGCATAAATGAACATGCTCAGAGGCTACCATTTTTGGGCCTGGATCCTTGATTTTTATTACCTATTCAGTGAGGGATGAGCTGCCTCCCTTCCACCCTAGCCCCAGGCTCATCTGAAAACAGGGTACTTGCCTTGTAGGATCACTGGGAGTATCAGTTGAGCCAAAAAGTACTAGGTGGTGTTTGGGAGTCCTGTTGAATACACAGTGAGCTCTCTGTAAGTATGTGCTAGTGTTTTTAGCTGGAACCTTCAAGCTTTGAAAAACAACCCTCTCTCAGGTGGCAACAATAGCCCATTTCCATTTGATGAGTTCTGAAGGCTACTGAAGGAACATTGAAAATGCCTGGGAGGTGGCAGCCAAGCCCAGTAAGCCTAACTCCCAGCTCTCTGTACCTCCCAGAGATCCAAAAACCTCAGGGCTGTGGATGCTTCACGTACCAAAGCAAGATTTACAAGAGGATGGGAGAGAAAGACTCTGCACTTCCAGAGCGGCAGGTGAGAATCAGCGGCCACCATGATAGCCAGGACGGTGCCCACTGGTCTTGACAGGGTCAGTCATTTATTGACAAACACCTCTACAAGGGCCTCTGGCTCTGAGTAGGGAATCTGCACTGTCTGGAAGATTATAGACTAAATTCAAAAGGGAAGACATATTGATACTCTTTGTAAACATGTGGTCCATCGGTCAGTAAGTGCCTTCCACTTGTCATGTTTTATCAGGTACCTCAATATGTTACACAGATGAGGAAAATTTGCTTCTACATTCAGAACAAAGGTGATCAGCCCCAGACAGTGACCCTATGGCGGGGGGAGGGGTCTCAGTGTGACAAACACAGAAACTCATTCACTGAACCCTGCTCTGTCAAAATTCAAGACAAAAATAATGCCACCCTTAGGACCAGATGTGTGTGTGCTTGCACGCATGCATGCATGCACACACATGTATGTGTATGTGCACATGCACGCCTGTAACCCAGCTATTCAGGAGGCAGAAGACTGCAGTTTGAAGTCAGCCTGAGCAAAAATTGGACCTCAACAAACACACAAACAAGGATTGGTGGTAATGACTGTAATCCTAGCTAAGCAGGAAGCATAGATAGGTAGGAGGATCTCCAAGCCAGCCTCAGGCAAAGGAGCCCAAGACACTATCTAAAAAATAATTAAAGCAAAAAGGTCTGAAAGGCGTGGTTCAAGTTGTAAAGTACTGCCTAGTTCAAACTCCAGTACCACCATCCCCTCAAATTCGCGCCATTAGATTTTCTTATAACTGACCAGATGCCAATTTAAGGATGCTGTAATAATAATCACTACAAATCTAGACAAGTATTGCTACTTAAATGTACTCTGAACCCTTTGAAACAGTCTTATTTATTGCTTTTTTTATGATCAAATGGGTATTTCTCAAAAAAGTAATCAAAATGCATATAAAGTACTGTTGCAACATGCCCTTAAGTGGATGTTTAGAACCCACATTTCTGATTTCATGGGAAAAATATTATAAGATACCATCTTTGAAAGACTTGTGAAAAAAACAAAACTGCTGCCCAGTAAAGACATTGAGAACATTCTGGAACTGGTTCTTAATGATTATCTTCAGGGTTGGGCAAGAAGGCAGACAGGGATTTAAATGTCAGATAACACAGAAGACAGTCTCTATAACCCACAAACAACATGGCAGCAACTAAAGCCAACCTAAGAAATATCACCAACACATTTCCTTAAGCCCAGGACTCTAATTTCACTTATATCCCATGGGGGAATTAAGAGAAGAATTTTGTTTTGTTCTGTTTACTTGGTGAATAGCTTAAAGTCTTAAGATATTTTTGTTAGTTTAAATAACACCAGGAAAAAAAATCTAAGCAACTAATGAACATTACTTACTCTCTTTTATTCCAGTCTACACCAAGTCTAATACGATAGTGCTGGCTCTGACTTTCTACTACAGTGAAAAATGAAAATCGTTTGTAGGGTATGTGACTGACTGTCCACAGTTTTCAGTAGATTGAATTTGACATTATTATAGCTCAGGATATTCTCACTGTTTTCCAACAAGTGCTGTGGCTTCTTCCTCCCTCGCCCCTCTCCCCTCCTTTGCCTCTCTTCTTCCTTGTTTCCTTCCTTCCCTTATTCCTCTTTTTTTTTTTTTTACATACATACCTCTTTGAGGCATTTAGCATGTTATTAAACAGTTGCTATCACTGTTGCTGGGCAAAGCTATTGTATATCCATAAAGCACCTTCTTTCTCAGAGGTTATGAGTCCCCAGGGAAGGCGGCTTGTCAGTCTCTGAAATGCTGGCAAGAAAACCATTTTACAATCTGTTCAAAGTGGCCATTGGTCCCTGCCTGAGCTCTCTCCAGACCCCATCCTTCTAACTAGAGCGCTAAGGTGTTTTGCTCTAACTGCAATGATTTCCTGATTCATTTATACAAAGAGGCACTCTTTCAAATCACACCATTCTCCAGGGACATCCCAAATCATCCTGACAGAGAGGAAGAGAGACGTTGGCAGGTTTCAGCACATTAATAGCAAACGACAAATTAGTAACTATGTTTCTTTAATCTTCAACATTCATAATCACACAAAGTATCACTGATCATTTAAATAACACATGTCAAATAACCTAATGAAAAAACTAGTAAAGCAGAACGTTCAAGGGACTTATCTGGAGCATGTAAAAAACATCTGTAAGTATTGCTGAGCACACAACACATAGAATCACAACAGGCCTTTTGAAGATTTAAACTTTAACCAACAGGGCAAAGTGCTAAGGAGAAAACATACATAAATATATCCATCCTGCTAGCTTGCTCTAGGTAAATTCACCGCAGCTATAAAAAGGTAGTTAAAGTGGCTTTTCACATATAGCCAACAGTTTCTATCATTAACAGCTTGAAGAGGGACGAAGGAGAACTAACTATCTGTTATTTCCAAAACAGAATTGGTAGGGAAATCTAATCTCCTGACTAGCCAACTTGAAAATGGCATACCCACAACTTTGTTACAGAGAAAAATACTTCTCTTTAAAAACCTATACGTGTCAAAGATGGCTGAAAATCTTGTCCATGCTAGGGGAAAACTGAGTGTGGAAACACTTGCATTTTCCTATCTGTGCTGTAAAGAAAATAAAAAGCCAGAGAGCATTTTGGCATTTGCAAAAGGCTGAACTAAGTTCTCAGGCAATAAATTTATGGGGAAACATGACAAGCTCCTCATTAAAGCTATGTGTACATTGGCTGAATTTTATACAAGATTCTTGAATCTTGTGGAAAATTGGGCACGGCTTGACATCTGAACAATGTCCCTGGTTTGTTTGATTTCTAAAGCTTCGGAAAATGTTGCACTTTGGAAATCAAGTAGAGAAGAATAAACACATTCTGAAACAGAGCTCGACTGAATCGGAGTTATTTTTCCATATGTCTCCAAGAGATATTTATTATGTTTATTTCTCTTACAAACACAGTCCTCATGCTAGAAATACTGTGGTGTGCTTTTTCTTTTTCTTTTTGGTGATGAGAAAATAGTACTGTTAAGGCAAATCTTACCCAGCAGCAGGAACCACCTAAGGATGGGCAATTTTCAGTTGGCTTTTCAGAAGCTGGTTGCCATGACAAAGAGCACAATTTATTCCTTAGTCTCTTATCACAGCTACAATCACAGACCATAAAAATTAACAAGGCTTTTTTCCTTTTCCATGTGATTTCCGAGTTCCTCATCCTTACCTGAGGTCTTCTGTTCCCCCAATTAAATAGAATGAATGTCAGTCATCTAGCAATTCAATTAATGCTGATTCAAAATTCCGGCCCAAACCAGAATCTATAATCACAACCTCCTAATCACAGCTCAGCCATGAGAATGAAAAGCAAGCAGGAAATTGCACTAATTACTCAATTAGACTAATACTGTATTTTTAAGCAAGGGCTTATGGGGGTTGTCAGCCCTGACAAAGGACTCTAAAGTCCCCCTCACCTATTGTGTTTCCCAATTGCCTGAGCAAAGCTGTCTTTTTCAAGTGGCTATGATTTCCACCCATCTCATATGGATGGACCCAAATCAGGTGATGGAAATTTACAACTGAGATAGCAACACACAGTCCTCAGTGGTTGTGGTGGCTTCTAGGGGCTCTCAGTACAGGCTTGTACCATGGCCAGGCCATCCTATGGGATCCTTCTGGTGTGAAGGCAGCTGAACCTACCCCTTGATGGCCCCGGGAATCAACTGAAACTGGAGAGAACATTCAGTTAAGTGCAGAGCTTTTCGACAAAATTGCAAAACTAAGTCCAGCTCACAGGCAACGAGCGGCTTCTGAACTCCCAATGGAGCCTGCAGCATGCCGGGCTGAACAAGCCTCAGCCAGCGCCTGTGCTTGGTGTGCGGCCTGTTCGGCCCTGGGGGACAGGGGCCTGCGCCAAGCCCACCTGGAGAATCTTCCAGGAATTCAATAGTGAATGAAAAAAAACTGGTTGGGAGGAACACACCAGCAGATGTGACTGAAGTATTTACAAAACACCACTGGGTATAGACCAAACAAGCTGAACCTTATATATATATATATATGTTTCTTTTTTTAAGGGGTGGAGGTGTCCTTTTTCCCTATCCAGACTCAAAAGGCTTAACTATTCTGTAAACACAGGGAGGACTCTAGAGCCTGTTACACCTCTGGCTTTTGTGGTCATCTGTCAAAGTCCCTTCCCAGCTGGCTGAAGGAAGAGATGGAGACAGAGAGAGGGAGGAGGGCCTATCCCATACCACTGTCTTTCCTCTACTGCACAAAATGACCAACATGGGAAGCTCAGGGTTCTGAGAGGAGGGGAAACATTTATTTGACTACGTGAGACAAAGTCTACTTCCAGGGTTTGCCCTGGATGTGGCCACTGCTGAGTGTGCGAGGGTTGGAGTGGCTGGCAGGGGTCCCGGCTGGCAGGCTCTGACTGGTGCGGGAAGCAGGCACCTTGGAGTCTCTTCCCTGGGAGTTACTCTGGTTCAGTCGGCCTGAAGGGAACAAGATGGGGAGCAGAGATGCAAGAGTGGTTCCAGGCATGATCGGCCAAGTACACTTTTAAGCTAACGAAGTCCGAGTCCACAACCACTTTTAAGCTAATGAAGTCGGTGCAGCATCTACTTTGGGCCAATGATTATCTACTCCTCATCCCTGAGATCAATCTGAAGTTGGGGGATGGAGCAGGGATGGAGGGGAGCCCAGATAGCTGTTCTTTCTTCCTTTCCCTTATCCCCCACTAACCTGGGCAGTCTTTCACTCCTTCCTTAATAGAAAGAGACAGACAGGATGAGGGTGACTAGAAGAGAAAGCAGGGAAGCCATAGGGAAAATAAAAAGACAAAGGAAGGCTCTAGGAAGTGGCTAAAATCTACCCAAAGCAGCAGAAGGAAAGGAACTCCAAGGAGTCAACCCTGATGCTCTGTTCCTTGCTTCTGTTTAAGATACACACTTTAACCACAAGACCCTCTCTTCCATGTCTGTGTTCACTGCCTAATTCTTGTCATTATGAGAAACACCAGGCCCCAGCACCTGCATCACATTCAACAGCCTCTGATATTTTCAGAACCTGAATATAAAGATGAAGCTTTTCGTATAAGGTGATGGTCAAAGCTGCAACTCTCAAGCTTCACAGGAAATAAAGGGCAAAATATCTTACTAGAGGTGTCTGCTGGACCCTGGTTCTCTTCCAGATAATATTCTATCTTTTTTAAGTCTTCTGGGGTGAATCGCCATTTGTTTTCAGCTGGTAAGGTCGGCACTTTGGGGCTGGATCGTTTCCGGGTAGAACCAAGAGGAAGAGCCTGCTGGCAACAGGCTGGCAGGGAACCAGTAACTAGTCCTTCTGGGAATTTCTGAGCTAAGACTTTCAGACCTGGAAACAGATTACCACAAAAAGTAGGATTAACATAGTGGGGCCACACCAGACTTAGAACAAGTCTGTGTCTTTTATTTAATGCAGTATTAAGGGTTGAACTCAGGGCCTTAGAGCCTTGTATTTCTAGGCAGACATTCTACTGTTGAACCATGCCTCCAGCCTTTTGGTTGGTGCTAGTTTTACATGTGTGTGTGTGGTGGGGAGGGAGCTATATATAGATATATAGAGAGATATGTAGTTATATAGTATATATTGTGCCAGTACCAGGGCCTAAACCAGGACCTGTACACTCTCACTTGGCTTTCTTGCTCATGATTGGTGTTCTACCACTTGAACCACACCTCCAACTTAGCTTTATGCTGGTTATTTTGGACTTTTCTGCCTGGGCTGGCTCTGAGTGTCAGTCTTCCAGATACCAGCCTCCTGAGTAGCTACAATCGCAGTCATGAGTCACTGTCACTCAAATTGCTGGTTTGTTAGTTTGTTTTGTGCCAGTCCTGGGGCTTGAATATGGGGCCTGGGTGCTGTCTCTGAGCTCTTTTGCTCAAGGCTAGCACTTTACCACTTGAGCCACAGCTCTACTTCTAGTTTTCTGGTGATTCACTGGAGATAAGAGTCTCATGGAATTTCCTGCCCAGCCTGACTTTGAGTAGCTAGGCTTATAGGTGTGAGCCACCGGGACCCAGCTTATGCTGGTTATTTTTGAAAAAGGATCTTATTTCCTGCCTGCGCATATGCCTGGATCACAATCTACTTTTTTAGGTTTCCTCTCATAGCTGGGATGACAGGTACACATACCATGCCCAACTTCTTTCATTGAGCCATGCTGGCTGGGAACTGTAATCCTCCCTATCTTAACCTCTCACATGTCCAGAATGATACTTGCAAGCCACTGTGCACAGCTACTGGCTCAGAAGGGATCCCCTGCATATACCCAGGACGGCCTTGAACTGTGATACTCCTGATCTCAGCCTCCCAAGTAGCTAGGATCACAAGTGTGAGCCACTGGTGCCCGACTTGGCCTGTGTATCTCCTAATCTTTGGTCATCAAATTGAGCCAACAAGGCCATGAAATCCTGTTTCACCATAAAACAAATTACATCAGAGAGTGTGGATTGTTACATGGGATTCTGAGAATTCCTTTTGCTCAAGTCTTTACTATTCTTACAAAGCCCTGAAGCAATATAGTTAATTTAGGAATTAAAAACATGTTCTAGCTAAGCATAGTGGGACAATCCTATAATTTGAGCACTCAGGAGGCTGAAGGAAGAGTATTATAAGTTTGAGACTAGAGACTAGACCAAGCTAGCAAAGCTCTTTCTCAAAAAACAAAAACTAAAAAAAAAAAAACCTGCAAAACAAAATAAACACAACAAAATTTTACATGGTACACACTTAAAATCCTAGTTACTCAGGAGGTAAAGGTAGGAGGATCATGATCTGAGGTTGGTCTGGGCAAAAGTTCAAGATCCTACCTGAAAAACAAATTAAAGTAGCTAGGTTAATGCCTGTAATCGTAGCCTTTCAGAAGGCTGACACTGGAGGATCCAGGTTTGAAGTCAGTCCAGGCAAGAAAGTCTGTGAGACACATCTCCAATTAACCACCCAAAAGCCAGAAGTGGAGCTGTGGTTTAAGTGGTAGAGTTCTAGTCTTGAGCAAAAAAACTAAGGGACAGCACCCAGGCCCTGAGTTCATGTTCTAAGACCGGCAGAAACAAAAACAAAAGCAAACAAAAAAGCCTAATGAAAGCAAAAGGCATAGGGATGTGACTTGGGAAGCAGAGCACTTGCATATCAAGGCAAGGACCTAAGCTCAAACTTAGGTGCCACCAAAAGATAAAATACAAAACAAAAATAAAACTGCCACAGTCAGAAAAAACCAACCCCACAGCAGACGCTGCTAGAACTAACAGACACTTCACATAACTGGCTCCTTGCAGCCAGTATGGCTTTCTCTCTTTGCTGAGCACTACATTTAGAGCACGGGGCAGAGGAAGCTGATGGGGTGGCTTGAAAGGCTGTGAGCTCAAAGACTCATCTGGGAAGTCCTATGCAGAATGCTGTCTTGCTCACCTCCGGAAAGCATGAACAGGTTTTCAAACCCGCGCTCGCACATGGTGGTGGCTGCCTGGCTGGCCAGCCTCTCATCGTCATCGTACAGAATGATAATCTTGCCGTGGGCGTTTTTCTAAGGGATGAGTTAAGGTTCTAAACACTGAGCTAATGCTTCTAGATTGTAAGACACGGCCCCTTCCCCCCCCCCCCACACCAGCCCCAGGGACATAGAGCTATCTGGCTCATTCACACGAGGATAGAAAATTCAAGGAGCTCATTCTGCCCCATCATACTGGCAGCCACTGGGGTTCTTTGGTAGTGGAAACCATACAAGCTGGTATTCTTTTGTTAATGAATTAGAATTAACACAGTCTAAAATAGCACTAGTTACATACTTTTTCCTCTTTAATTCTTCCATCCTTCCCATCCTGAAAAGTAAAATCCACTTTAAAAATAAATAAGCCGGCACCGGTGGTCATGCTGTAATGCTAACTACTCAGGAGGCTGAGATCTGAGGATCATGGTTCAAAGCCAGCCCGGGCAGGAAAGTCTGTGAGACTAGGTTCATGCCTGGAATCCCAGCCTTTCAGAAGGCTGACATCTGAGGATCCAGGTTTGAAGTCAGTCCAGGCAAGAAAGTCTATGAGACACATCTCCAATTAACCATGAGAAAACCAGAAGTGGCGCTGTGGCTCAAGTGGTAGAAGGCTCACCTTGAACTGAAGAGCTGAGGGACAGTGCCCAGGCCCAGAGTTTAAGCCCCGAAACTGATAAAAAAATAAATAAATAAATAAATAAAATAAATAAGTAAATAAAAAAAAATTCTATGTCCCATGTACCACTAAAAGCCTTCTTTACAATAGTAAAAAAAGGTAAAACCACCAAAACATCCTAAATAAATGATAGTAAATCTGAAGATGAATTACTACAAAGCATCAAAAATGAAATTTACAAAGAACATGGGGAAGTGTGGGAAAAAATCAAGGCATTAAATATATAATAAGACTTCAACTTTGCAGAGAAAAATACTCTTTTTTTTTTTTTTATCGGTCGTGGGGCCTGAACTCTGGGCCTGGGCGCTGTCCCTCAGCTCTTCAGCTCAAGGCTAGCGCTCTACCACTTGAGCCACAGTGCCACTTCCGGCTTTTTTCTTTTTGCTTATGTGGTGCTGAGGAATCGAACCCAGGGCCTTGAGCATGCAAAGCAAGAGCTCTACCACTGAGCCACCTTCCCACAAGAGAAAAATACTCATACACACAGAAATTAGTCTGGAATAAAATGTGCCAATGACATAATAGGACTTGTGTAATGAGGGATTTCCTTTTTCTTTTTTATATTTTTCAGTTTTAATTTTTTTTTTTCTTTTTGGAAGTACTGGGGTTAGAACTCAGAGCTTTGCACTTGCTAGGATGGTGTTCTATCATTAGAATCACATCTCTAGCCCCTTATTTTTCAGTATTTAAATTATCTTCTACTTGCATGTTTTATTTTGTTTGATTTTTGGCGGTTGTGGGGCCTGAACTCTTGGCCTGGGCGCTGTCCCTCAGCTCTTCAGCTCAAGGCTAGCGCTCTACCACTTGAGCCACTTAAGCCACTTCCGTTTTTTTCTGCTTATGTGGTGCTGAGGAATGGAACCCAAGGCTTCATGCATGCAAGGCAAGCAACTCTACCAATAAGCCACCTTCCCAGCCCCTTGTATGGTTTTTCTATGAATGGAAAAAATTAAAATTTTAAGAAGAAGCAAAAAATAAAATAGAAAACATTTGCTTCTTAGATTCTAAGCTTTCTAGAGGAAGAAAAGTCTCAGGACTGACTCTCAACAGATCACAACCCTTAACCTAATGTGTTTTGGCCCCAGGCAGTATAGTTTGGAAGCGTCTGCCTTAACAGGATTCTTAGCAGTTGCTGGGAATTTAGTCTCAAACAGGCTAACCTGATTGGCGTCAAAGGCCTCTCACAGTTTTCTTACCAGGGCAGGAATCACAGTAAGTTTGCCTTTTACAGTTCTTATACCATCCAACTCCTTAAAATACAATGAAGGATACATATTCAAGAATATCATTTGAATAAGGATTCATCGTTCTAGAGAGAGTTGCAATTGGGTAACTGTAGGCTACAACGAGAAGAAAAGTTTATTAGGAAGGCTGTCATTCTCAGTACAACTTGGCCCTTGTTCCTAGCTGGCTTAAAATCTAAGGTCAATATACTTTCAAAATCGGTAGCCATAAACCTAAATAGTTCAGTGAATGAAAGGAAACTGGGCACTCTGAACAAAGCATGAAGGTCCACGTCATTGTTCACATGTCATGCTGGGCCCCTGACCTGCTGGAGGATATCTGCAGGCTCTCTCAGAGTTCATGCTGATGGCAACTCCAGGATTTCTAGGATGGATCTGGAAAACACACATCTTCCCTATCTTCTGTCCCTGGCTGGGGTTAAGCTTACTTGAATGCTAGGCCAGGCTCTGCTCCCAGGAGGCACTCACTTAAAGCCCTTGTTCCCTTACCTCCAATGATGTGGCACTGCTGGTAGGAATCTCTATCACGTACATCTAGCAGCAGGAAGGGGCAGTCAGGGTAAGGCCTGTCTTTGGTGTTTGGCTCTGCTTTCTTCGCTAGACCTTTGTCTAGATCCAGTTCCCCAACACCACTGATAACACTAAAAGGGAAAAAGTCAGCAGAAACTAGTCAGGGGTGAGTGGCTTAAAGGTCAAATGCATTTCTTCAGAATGGGGAGATGAGTGAGTGCTCAATGTCTTTTCAAAAGGCAACTCAAAGGAAAAAGGTAAATGGTTACAGTGTCTCAGTTCTGAGTTCTGCTGAATGCAGAATCCTAGGATTCCTACCCGGGAGGGGACCTGAGTGTCCACACTTACCTTCAGACAATGTGAAGCTAGGTAACTACCTACCAAGCCAAGAGGGTAGAATATAGACACATGTTGCCCGCCAGCAAAGGTCATCACTCAGAGAGGAATAAAATTGATCCAAGAGAAGTTCAACGGGTGTAAGAAAGCAGAACAAAGAATAAAAAAAAAAAGCAAGAAAAAGAATAAGGTTGACAAGACATGAAAAAAAAACCCCAAAGATGTTTATATGTATATGAAACATAATATAAAGTGACAATAATGTTTCATACACAGTCATGTGTCATATAATGATTTTACTGTCAATAATGGAATGCATACATGGTGCTAATTTTATAAAATAATGCTTAGTGATATTGTAGTCATCTTAGTTTGTGTGAGTACTTTCTGTGATGTTCCTAAATTACCTAATGATACATTTCTCAGAATGTCTCATCATTAAGGGATGCATGACAGTACTTATACAATGACCTATTCAATCTGGGCACTGAACTTCAACACTTTCAATGGTATTCTGCACTTACTTCCAATTTACATGTTATAATGTTGAAGTTGGAAAGGCTTTTTATATTTAGTGGCATTCATGTAATGATGAAGGCTTTGGTTAAAATAAAGGATAGTTTTGTTTCTAATGTCATTAAACTACTAACAGTCGTCACCATCATACTATAAAGAAAATATGATGAAAATTACCCAGGGACTGAAAAAAACCAAGAGCTGTGAACAAAATGGCAAGTAATGATAGTACTGTGGAGTAAGGAGATGGCCATTTTCCTAGGACATGTTAACACACATATTCTACATTTACTTCCCAAAACACAAACTCTATGCCATAAAGGTGCCTATTTCATTGAACCAAAGAAGAAAATCTATTTGATATGGAACTGTATCCTCAACGGAAGCTTTGTTAGCCTATCTTTTCTTGAATGCATTTTTATGAGTTCCTTCACAAAAGTAAGGAGGAAAAGCCCACAGTGGTATTGATTGATAGAGCAATTCTTTCTCTAGTAGAATGTAGTTTCTCTGTAGAATTATTTTACTAGTAGAAGGAATAGATTTGTTCTGAAAGCTAGCCCCAGATTTACAATTAAAAGTTTATATGTGTGAAAAAGTGCCACATGGAATGAAGTCCATGGAGTAAGAAGGACAAACCACATGCAGTTTTAGAAGCAATACCAGTCTTCTGGTATTCTCTGCACCTATTCTGTACCAGAGTGTTCTGGGAGGCATTGTGTTTTTCTGAATCTAGACAGGGCAATTATGAATTACAGCAGACAGAAAAGAGAATAAAATTTACACTGTGAGTCAAAAAAATACTACTTGGAAATGTAAGTTCTAATAATGAACTTACCTGTAGAAAGGCTGAGAAGAATGGAACCAGGGAGTGAAAATTAATACTCTTATTAATGTAGTATTATACTGACTCAGTTAAGAATGTTGTGAAACAGATTTAGGAGGTAGCATTTATACAAAGAGGAATGGAAAGGCTGGTACTAACACGTGGAATGTCACTACTGCCATTTCTGGTTTGTTTTTTTTGGGGGTCCGGTTGTGGGGCCTGAACTCTGGGCCTGGGCGCTGTCCCTCAGCTCTTCAGCTCAAGGCTAGCGCTCTACCACTTGAGCCACAGCGCCACTTCCAGCTTTTTTCTTTTTGCTTATGTGGTGCTGAGGAATTGAACCCAGGGCCTCAGGCATGCAAGGCAAGCGCTCTACCACTGAGCCACCTTCCCAGCCCCCATTTCTGTTTTTAAAGTAGTTACATCAATAGATTAATGTGAAGGTAAAATGTGGTGAACACACAAATCAGACAAGAGCACCTCTGAAGAGTAGAGCGACTGGATTCCCCCACTCCTGTGCTGTTGATGAACTGGACAGGGCTGGGTGACTGCTCTCCCGGGCTCCCTTTCCCATTGGTTCCAGTAGAGATTTCTGCATCTGGCTCTGAGTTTGCAGAATCATTGTCTAAATTGTGCAAATGAAGAAATAATTCAAATGTAACTTCAGGTAATTCCATTAAAATCAAGTCAAGAAAAAGGAATATTATTAGCATTATTAAGTTGTTCTAGAAGTTTTTAAAACACTCCGGTGTTTGAGAGTTAGGACTTGGGATACCCAGGAATCCTCAAGAACTGTGGGAAGTATCCAAAGTGAAAGTATCTTCATAAGATGTCTTTTTCATGATGTTGATATCTACACTGATGGTATGAAATAACAAGTGAATAAAACTGCTAACACCTTAGCAAGCATTAATGCAGTGGCATCAAATTTTATCAGCAATCCTATTTTCACAACAGCATGCTCTCACAGTAAATAAATATGGCAGTCATACTAAAGATGTCCTTGATAAGGCCATGATTAATCATTTTATTAAGTTTGACCCTGAAGTACAGTGTTCTGAGTGATGAAATGTGAGTCCATGTATAATTGGTTTTGTTATGTACCTAAGCACTGTAGTTATCTTAAGGAAAAATGTCAAAGCACTTGCTGGGTTGCAGCTGAGCCAGCCATTTTTGCCATAAATACTTTGTCTTGGTAAGAAAACTGACAGGAAACTCTGCTTACTTCGACTTGTGTATTTGACAGACATTTTCTCAAAAGTGAATTAATAAGTCTGTCATTTCAAGAAAAACATCTGATGGTGTTAGGTGCCAGTGGCTCATACCTGTAATCCTAGCAACTCAGGAGGTTAAGATCTGAGGACTGTAGTGCGAAACCAGCCTGGGTAGAAAAATTCCCTAGAGACTCTCATCTCCAAATAACCACTCAAAAACTGGAAGTGGAGCTGTGGCTCAAAGTGGTAGAGGACTAGTCTTGAACAAAAGAGCTCAGAAACAGTGCACAGGCTCTCAGTTCAAGCCCCATGACTGACAAAACAAAACAAAAAACAAACCCCAAAATGAAACAAAAAGCAGCTGATTTTATCTGTTGATGAGGAGATTTTGAGCAAAAATCAGAATTTTGGAACTTGTATTTGTTATCAGGAGCTGAAGTATGAGAAGCTGCATCCCCATACTTGTAAGATGTTTCAGATCTTCACAGGTTAGTGAAAAGATACCTTTCCAAACCACCAGTGCATAGGATAAAAACATGTCTGGGTAAAAGATTCATTCAAAGTCCAAGACAGATCAATGGACTTCAAATGAACTGAGTATGAAAAGTTCATTGATAATGATCTCAGATTCTCCACTGGAGCTAAGTTTGCAGAAACAACTAGTTGTCAAGTTTTAGTGTAGTGCCAAAGGAAAATACCCCAGTTATGTGAAAGGCCTACTAAAATATTCCTCCCTCTTTCAAGTACACTACCGTGTGAGTCACATTTTCTTCAGATATGTCAGCCCAACAGCAGACTTAACAGACTTGTGTAGATACAGATAGCAGACCAGCCACCTTCTATAAAAGCCGACATCAAAGAGATTTGCAAACTTTGTAAAGCAATGCCTCAAAAATTTTGTTTTGAAAATTGTTTTATCTTTCACAAAAATGTATTTTAGGGACCAGGGCTGCAGCTTAGTTTTACAACACATGCTTAGTATGCATGAAGCCCTGGATTTGTTCCCTAGTACCACATAAAAAGGTTTTATGTTTATGAGGCTAGCTTGTGAAATAAACATTGTTTAAGTTTGCTTAGGTTTGTTAATTTTTTTATTTTTTTGCTAGTATCTGATTTTGACCTCAGGGACTCATGCTTGCTTGGCTGGTACTCTATCATGGCTGGAGCCATGCCTCCAGCCCAGCTTTTTGCTGGTTATTTTGGAGAGGGATTCTCTCAGACCCTTATACCTTAGCTAGCTTCCAACCTCTCAAACCTCTATCTTCCAGTTCTCAGCCTCCTAAATAGCCATTGGCACCTGGCTCAGTTTAAAATGTTAACACATTAAATTTTAATAGCTAAAATCTATATAAACCAAAGCTCTTCGAGATCCTCAATAACTTTTAAGAAAGGAAGACTGAGATAAAAAAGTTTAGAAACTTGCTGTTCTAAACAATATAATGTGAGAATAGAAATAAAATGCTTTATTATTAAGCAGATAGTAAATTTAATTTTCTTATGGTTGCTAGAAACTTTAAGAGAATGCTGTAAGATTAAGAGCAATAATTTTTTTTAAATCTGCAAATCAACAAGCAACATTTTTCCTATAAACTGATTAAAAAACAACATGAAAAACATTTCACTTACAATAACTATAGACTCTACCATGAATAAAACTAAAACAACTATAAAAGACCTATACAAAACTTTTAAGTCCTTTAGAGAATTTATAATTCTTCTTCTTAGGGGCCTTAAAGAAGACCTCAATGAAGAGAATACAAAATGTGTATTCCTGATTAGTGACTGAAAGTGAAACAAGGTTGATCCTTCCCAAATTTAAGTGTTACCCTTAATGGTAATGTTACCTTAATGGTTAATTCTGATTAAAAACTTAAAGAATTTTAAGGATAAGCCAGATACCAATGGCTCATACCTATACCCTAGCTATTCAGGAGGCTGAGATCTGAGAAATGAGGTTTGAAGTCAACCTAGGCAGACAAAACCTTTTTTTTTTGTCGGTTGTGGGGCTTGAACTCTGGGCCTGGGCGCTGTCCCTCAGCTCTTCAGCTCAAGGCGAGCGCTCTACCACTTGAGCTACAGCGCCACTTCCGGTTTTCTGGTGGTTTATTGGAGATAGGAGTCTCACGGTCTCTCCTGCCCGGGCTGGCTTTGAACTGTGATCCTCAGATCTCAGCCTCCTGAGTAGCTAGGATTACAGGCGTGAGCCACCAGCACCCGGCGAGACTTGTATCCCTAACCAGTAAAAAACCAGAAGTGGAAGCCTGGGCCAAGTAATAGAGCATTAACCTTGGGCAAAATAGCTGAGCAAGAGTGCAAGGCCCTGAGTTCAAGCAACAGTATTGGCACAAAAGCAAAATAAAAAGAATTTCAACAACAAACACATATAAATAAAATTAGGGGGCTGGGAAGGTGGCTCAGCGGTAGAGCGCTTGCCTTGCATGCATGAGGCCCTGGGTTCGATTTCTCAGCACCACATAAGCAAAAAGAAAAAAGCCAGAAGTGGTGCTGTGGCTCAAGTGGTAGAGCGCTAGCCTTGAGCTGAATTGCTGAGGGACAGCGCGCAGGCCCAGAGTTCAGGCCCCACGACCAGACCCCCCCAAAAAACCCAAACAAAAAACAACAACAAAAAAATAAAATAAAATTAGGGGTAATTTTGGAGAACCTGCTTTATCAGATAGAAACTGGTGGGGAAAGGCAAATGACCAATACAGTGCAGAACTATAATCAGCACAACAGAACATGATAGAGGACACAGAAATAAATCCTGGAATAGACATAAAAAGTTAATTCATCCACATAACAAATCAGTGGTTAAAAGAACTACCGAATAAGCTGGGCACCAGTGGCTCATGCCTGTAATCAATCCTAGCTACTCAGGAAGCTGAGATTTGAGGATCATGGTTCAAAGCCAGACCGGGCAGGAACATCTGTGAGATTCTTACCTCCAAATAACCACCAGAAAACTGGAAGTGGCTCTTTGGCTCAAGTGACAGAGTGCTAGCCTTGAGCAGAATAGCGAGGGACAGAACCCAGGTCCAGAGTTCAAGGCCCATGACTGGCAAAAAAAACAAAAACAAAAACAAAAAAACCCCCAAAAACTACTGAATAAACAAGGTTGTAAATTTCTCAATTATCTAGAAAAATCAAATTTACATAATCACTTTACATCACATATCAAAATATAGAACAGATGGTTTAAATGTAAAAAAGCAGCAACAAAAAAGATGAACTAAATATACCAATAAAAGAAAATAGTTATTTTAACTTATTTTGGATATCATAAATCTAGAGCAATAAAGGAAAACCCAGTAAGGGAGAGTAGGTAAAAATGAATGTCAAAAACCAACACAAAGAAAATTAAAGATAAATAACAAATTATAAAAAAAATCTGTAACAAAGATTAATATACTTAATTTGCATTTTTAAAAAATGAGCTCTTTAGTTAACAAAGGGTCATCTGCTCAGAGTAAATTACAAACAAGATACAATGTTTAATATGGAAAGGAGGTTTTCCTCTTATGGCAAACCTGGAAGCCCTGCAGCAATTCCTGCAATGGAACTACTTTCTATACTCTCTTTCCAGAAATAAAATGCTATGTCCTTTTGCATATATTTTACTTCCCATTCTTTTTTCATATGTCCTTGAGAATTCCATCCATACTGTTCTATGCTTTAGGGTTTTGTTTTGCTGTTACATTCATTTTACTTGATTACAAGTAATCAAGTAAAGATATTTCTCCTTTGTTCCAACCTAATATTTCTTCTATTGTATAGAGATATCAATTATTATTATTGCTCTTACAGATCATTTTTAAAAAAATAGATAAATAGGGCTGGGAATGTGGCTTAGGGGTAGAGAGCTTGCCTGGCATGCATGAAGCCCCAGGTTTGATTCCTCAGTACCACATAAACAGAAAAAGCCAGAAGTGGTCTTGTGGTTCACGTGGCAGAGTGCTAGCCTTGAGCAAAAGAAGCTCAGGGACAGTACTCAGGCCCTGAGTTCAAGCGCTAAGACTCCCCCCACCAAAAAAAAAAATAGATAAACATCCTAGTAAGAAAAAAGTGGGAAAGGGCATGTAAGATAGGCACTGGTGGCACATCTGTAATCCTAGCTATTCAACTGGATAAGATCTGAGGATCTCAGTTCTAAGCCTGTTCAGGCAGGAAAGTCCATGAGACTCTTAACTCCAATGGTTCACCAAAAAACCTGAAGTAGAGTTGTGGCTCAAGTTGTAGTGTCAGCCATGAGTGAAAAATAAAAAACAGAACTAAGGGACAGTGCACAAGCCCTAAGTTCAAGCGTCAGCATAGGCACAAAAATTAACTAATTTAAAAGTTCTTAAAAGAAATATATACAAACAGTAATATGTGCATGCATGTGTACATGTGCATATATGTGTATATATAGCTCAATATTATCAAATAAATTAAAAATAAAATTATTACATACCATTTTCATCTATTGAACTAACAGCTATTTTTTAAAACGGTAATTACTCAGCAGTGGCTGGGATAGGGAGACATGGTATTCCCCTTCACTCCTGATAGTAACACAGTCAGGTAGAGCCACACTGTGACAGTGAGGCAATGGTTCTACCTTTGATGATCTGAAATTTATCTTTAGGGAACAATGAGAGTTATAAAAGTACACACACACACACACACACACACACACACACACATACACACAATGTAGCATGTGAAAAAACGAAAAGAACTGCCCCAAATGGGAGAATAATTAAATTATGGTATATTCCCAAAGACAGATGTTATATAACTACACAGTCATGCTGTTGAAGTCTATTTAATGACATATAAAAAAAAAGTTCATTAAAAGTAGCATAACATAATAACTCTACTCAGGGAGTATGGATTTGGCAGGGGTAAGAAACCAGGTGGGAAAAAGTAGACCAAAATATTCTCAATGGTGAATATTTGTTGTAATTATCTTTATGTATTTTTTTGCCAATTTTTACATTTACTAGAAATATATTTTTAAGTCAGGAAAAAGCATTAAGTATTTATAAAAGAAGATTTTTATATTCTTCAAAGGTAACAAAACATGTATATAGATACAATCTGTTCTACAGGCACTTCTGAGTGAGCTATTATCTTGTGTAGAGCACTAGAAAAACACTAATATTACTCTCACATTATGGAGTCCTACTTTACCAGAGCCTATTTTGCTGTACAAATTCATCTCAGTGGAGAAAATTGCTTGTGCCCATATGTTCTGGTGCTGCAATTTCAACAATGAATTAAAGGACAAAATGTAGGTGCTTATATAACCTGGTTAAAATTCAGAGTACTTGTATGAGAAGACTCAATTATCTCTGTTACAAAGAGCCCTTACTTCTTTGCCGTGGAAGAGGCATCTGTTAAAGATAAATTCCTGTCGTTTTCAGATTCTCTTTATTCTGCCTAACAAAAACCAGCCCAGGGAAATGACAGCTGAGTCCCACAAAACCAGTGTTCAGACTTCCTGAGAAACTTGTCTTTGAAATCAGAAGTCAAATTCCTGACCTACATCAACTTTAACAAACACATTCCCCTTCAGTAAACAGGCACGCATTGATTGCAGAGTACTTCAGGATAAAATCAAGACCTGAAGTCTGTGTATTCTTTCTGTGAGAGTACAACTACAGAGGTTTTATTTTCCACTTGGTATTTAAGAAAGGAAACCTGGAGCTTGCTTATCTTTCCAGCTTTCCCTCTCCCCCAGTGCCCAATCCTCCCTTAGACCACAGCCAGACCGGACTGTTCCACTGCCTGCATGCTTGCCCGTCCTTTCCCCTCTGTGCCTTCTTAGGATGCCTCTTGGCTTATAACTTCTCCTAACTCGCAACCCTCCAAGGCTTAGTTGAAATATCTCAAGGAAGCCTGCCTTGGTCTTCTAACTGGAAAGACCTTTCCTTCCTCAGAACACCCACAGCAACCTGCATCGTTCCCAAGAACTTTCCAGAATCCTTCATGATGAAGTGAGATGATAATGGTCACTACCAGAGATACACCAGCATCCCAGATCCATTTATTACAAGCTTTACTACCTTGGGCAAGTGACTTAATCTTTAAATCCTAGGCTTCTGTTTATGAAGTATGCCCTTCTTTGAGAATTGTCAAAGAGTTTAAATAAGAAAACTCATGTGAAGTGCCTAGTGATGCATACGCAACAAATGATTATTGCTTTCCATTCTTTCGTTAAATTCTGCCACATTAGTAATTTTATGTACTGTTATCAATCTTCCCTCACCCCGCCACAGGTATATATACTTATGTGTATACTCATGACTATGCATTCCATACAACCAGGAGCTGTTTTGTCATTTCTATAGTTTCTGAGCACTGAATTCTGTGACCATATGCATACAGAGGCACTAAAATTTTGCTGAAATAAAATAAATAGTATATTAATCACATCTGAAACATTGAAAGGTATATGTGTTAAAGCCAGAAAACCAGATGGCTTTCTTGGATAAGTTAAGACTTAATGATTCAAGCACCAGACAGCATTTCTCTGAGAGAAACTATCTAATTCCAAGTAGAAACCTCCAAGTCCAGAGTGCCTGTGAACACACCAGGAAAGGTATATAGTGAGTATTGTAGTCAAATGGTCAATTTGTCATTTCTTCCACATCCTCATTTCTCATTACCTTCGAGCCTCTGAATCTCCTCAGCTGTCACTTCCAGTGTTTGATCAGATAGGGAAGCTACCTGGATAACCTGGTAGAGAAAGAATAAAAGGTACAGACGTGTGGGTGCTTTGTTTTAAACAGAAACAAGTCTATCTTTTACCAAAACAGGGAAACTAAACATCAAAAATATCTTTTTTAGGAATCTATCAGTATCCTCAACTGGAGTCCGAATTTCAGGCCTTTTTACTTTTTAAAGTGGTACTCACACCATAGATGAAGATTCCAGAAGAAAAGATTTGTTTAAAACACTATACTTAAGGATTAAGATCTAAAAGATAATTTAGGACAAGATACACGAATTAGACCTTTTAAAATTGCATCTGTATTTATTCTTGCCTTTGCATGTCATTTCTTGAAAATAAAATTACTGACCTATAATAGAGTAAATGATAATGATAGTTCTCCATATAATGAAGAAATAAATGTAATTATGTATATACTGATTTAAGTATTTTATACCTTAACACATTGTTCTTTTTTTTTTGCTGGTCCTGGGGTTTGAACTCAGGGCCCTAGGCTCTGTCCCTGAGCTTCTCTGCCACTTGAGCCAAAGCGCCATTTATGGCTTTTTCTGAGTAGGTTATTGGAGATAAGAGTCTTATGGACTTTCCTGTCCAGGCTGGCTTCAAACCTGGATCCTCAGATCTCAGTCCCCTGAGTAGCTAAGATTACAGGCATGAGCCACCAGTGCCTGGCCATACCATTCATTTTTAAAACAAATCTCAGAACACAGTTCATATGTTCCCAAATCCAAGTTGAATCATACAAACACAACTCTTATTTGGGGCTGCTGAAATACTTTGTCCATAATTTTCCAATGAAAGAAGAAAATAACTTGCCCAAAGTAACAACTCATAGAAGAACAATTTAGAAGAGTCATAAGAAAGGGGGAATTACTTGATTTCCATAGGAAAAAATATATCCAAACAACCCTGAATCTAAAATTATAGATTCTAAATATCAATTAAATGTATAATGAAAAATAAAGTTGAAACCATAAATCTGATGAACAGAACATACCTTCTTTACAGAATTCTTACAGAAAAAAAAATTCCACCATCCTCATGAAAGAACATACACACTACAAACCAACTTATCCATTCCCAGGTGAAATGGAAGAATCAGAAGCAACCCCACTATAGAGTCCTACAGCTACATTTAGAAATGCCATGTAGAGCAACACAGATCAGTCTTCACTCAACAGGAACGACACTTACCAGCTGGGCAAAAGTGGTAACTTTCAGTCTCTTGAAAAGTTCATCTTTTTTATATCTATAATCTGAAAAGCAGGATAAAACAGATTGATTTTCCTTTCTTAGAGCTATTAATGCTTTCTAGTCATGGAGTTCTATCTTTCAATTCTCTAACAAGCTGATATAATATATATATATATATATATATGATATACACACATATCACGTTAAAATGAGGTGGAAAGGTTATGGTATCATTTTTTCATTTTCCTGCTTTTTTTCTGTTCATAGGTCAGAAAGCATTTTCTTTTTACTGAGCTCCTACTGTAGCTATGAGTTTTTGTAAACTGCCTCCAATCCCTTTTGAGAACAAAGCAGGGAATAAACACCTACAAATAAGGACAGAGACCCAGAGAAGCTGAGTTGCCCTGGGCCAAACAGCTGGCTAGGCATTTATACCCTACTATTCTGACTGGCTTCAAAAGACAGCAGTAATTTTCCTGTGGCTGCCAGCTCTGCTGGACACATAGAACAACACTTGTATATATGTGCAGGGCACAGGATGTGATTGGTCCTGACAATCTCATATTATTGTCAGTCAGTCAATCTGTTTCTCTCTCTCAAATTAAACTACTCAGTTTGGCAAGCTGAGAAAATTCTAGATCTTTGTTGACAACAATGAGAATATATTTAAAACCAATAAATGATTTAAATGGTAAATTTATGTGTTGTGTATTTGCCACAATTAAAATAAACTAAAAACCAGCCAATCAATATTTAATCAGTACTATACTTATACTTTTGAGATATAACCCAAATGGGGACATTCTTTATACTTGTGTTGATAATTCTTTCTATCATATTAAACTGTAAAAATTGAGCTGATCTCACTGTATCTAGTATCTACTTATAGACGCAGGTTAGAAGTTAGCTTCCTTAAACTTCTTTGAAGACAACTAGTAATAGTGAAGAGTTTTCAGCACTGTACTCTGAAAATCCCTCCTTCTGCTAGGTTTTTTATTTGAGTATCTCTAACTCTTTAAATACAGCTTCACTATTAAAGAAGTACTAAAGCTTGGCTGGATAACTGCTATGGCCTTTCCTATATATCTCATAAACCAAGATTCCTAGCAACCAAGGAAAGGATGACATGTATATAAGATCATTTACCTGGTATCACTAATGAGTACCATGAATTTGCCAAAAACCAGCCCACACTGGATGGAAGAGGTTTACCAAATACCTTAATATTTATTAGTCAGGAAATGATACTACCTTAAAAAATAGCCTTCTGTCCTAAAATGTCATAGAGAAATTTGGAAAAGAGACTATTACTCCTAGAATATTCTTAGAGCAGTTTCTTCTGCATACAACAAGGTAACAAACCCAGGGACAATAAAACTGCCCAAGTCTGCCAGGGTACAGATCCAAAAAGCTGAACAGACCCTCAAAAAGTACCAGTAAATACCCAGACCTTTCTCTTCAAATGCCACCAACTTGTGTGAATTCACTTATTAGAATCAAAACAGCAATAAATCAATTGGGAGAAACTGTCAATAGCTTTCAAGTAGTTTGTAGTTTGACATTTATCTATTAATATTCTTTCTGTATGGTTACATAGTTTGAAATACTTCTAAGCATAAAATGTACACCTTCAAATCCCCTCCGAATAAACACAGATTACACTAAGCAAACCCCAGGCTTTGCTATCTCCTGTGGTTGGTAATCCTGTGGTCCTTAGCACCAATACTGGCAGCCCCTTGCATAATGAGCATACATACCTGGTTCTGGTTTGGAAGGACAGCCATCAGTAGGACTTTCTGACATTATTTTTCAGAGATAAAAGATCAAACTAGACGTCTTAAAGTTAAGTTTTAAATTATATATAAATTTATATAAAGGATGCCGTGGAAGTTTCTGTCAGTCTGTCCTCCCAAGAGCGAACAGAGCTTTAAGAATGGAGCTTCTGCAGTGGGGCTTCTCTCAAACTCTGTGTTAGAGACAGATAATCCCAGCTCAGAGACACTATCAAGGTTTGCTTCTCTAGTAAGTGCAGGGTCTGAGTTGGCCTCTCTCGAGTTACTGGAAGGACAGAGACTTGACTATCTAGGATGTTTCACACTGAGTCCAACAGTATCATTTAACCACTAGGCCCCAAGAATAGGCTTTGTAAAACAGTCAATAGACACAGAGCATCTATTTTCCCTGGGCATAGTTGAAAGAATGTTCAGATTACAAAGGATTTCTGCGTTTTCAGAAGAAAAGGAAGTTGGACTTGAAGTAGAAGGCCAATCAAAGGAAGTAACAGAATAGGTTTGCAATTTCAGATGGACGTGGCAACTGAGGTAAGGCAAGCAAAGGGATGGGTCTAGGGTGTCAGGAAACAAGGCAATGTTCTCCTCCCTTCTGACCCAAGAGAACACACAAAACTAAAAACAGAGGAAGAGAAGAAGATAGCTCCCAAACAGACCTAACAGAATTCTGTCCGAATGAGCCCAATGTGTGTGATCAAAGTGAAAGGAACGGAAGCCCAGAACTTCTTTAGAAGGAAGGAAGGATTTTTTTTCAAGGGCTCTGTTCCAAGATTATTTCTTTTGGGAGATGATCTCCATGTAAGTTTAGGTTTTCAAGAAATCACACTGGACTTTTAAATAAATGATTTAAGCAAAGGTTTTGTCAATCTGGGCGGAACAAGGCATTTTGACGGGACAAATTTCTGCTGAAGACATGTGGGTTCACACTCAGCTACAAGTGGAAGGGAGTCAAAGAGACCACAAACCCAAACAACCGGCTGGCTGTTCCTAAGGCCTACCTTAGATAACTGAAGGATGGCAGCCATGAAGTGGAGGTGAGTACATAAGGTTCTTTTCATAATTTGGAGATTTGACATGTTTCATCATACTTATATAATAATGTGAAATGTCTGAGAAGGATCCTGTTGGCATAAATTTTAAAAAGTATCTAATAATGCCAGCCAGCTCTTCTAGCTCAATAAGACAAGTAAAGGTATTAAGCAGAAAGCTGATCTTGAGTCCATATCTACTGTCACAGGTTTTCCCATACTGCAGCAATTCAAAAGGAAGATTATCATTTTAAATGAAAAGGTCTGCTGTGTTTAGAAGGAAAATTCTGGAGGATTCTAGATTTCAGATTTTTTTCTTCCAGGAAGGATTTACTATCACAGGCAAGTTCCAAACTGGGATCCAAGCACCGCTTTACTACCATTAGCTAGCTGGTCCTCTAGCATTGGGTTCTCTACTTAAGACATGAGCAAATCAGTCTTAGAATCAGAGATGATTTGACTACTTTAATTCTGGCCTTGCTGTGTACATTATCCATCAGTTTTGGACACACTGAAGAAAAAGATGATTTTTATTCAAGGGCAATGCATTCAGTGACTAGTAAGATAACTCCACAAAATATTAGTTATTTTTTAGATTAGTTTTTGAAAAGGATGTGCATGAAATATGACTTTTAGTGAAAGGAAAACAGGCTGCAATGAATGGATACTGTAGAAAAGGAAGAACAAACTCTTTCTTTTTCAGACCTCTTAGTCTTTCATCAATACTGTCTAAGTTATACTCATAGGAATGTTATTATGAAGAGAGATATTATTACCCTGGCTCAGGCAGACCAAAGAAGAGAGAGAAGACTAAGTACTCTCAAAAGGCCATGAAAACTGTAGCACAATGAAACTAACAGCCAGGGTACTGATTGCTTCAGAGTTCATTTCACATTCCCACATTTGTACTCCCTATGGGATGTAAGTTGGGCAGAGCTCAGACCATAGGCTAGTCTTAGGAGCTGGCCAAGAGGGTTCCCAGTGTCTCCCACATCCTTCCAGACCTGCCAGGCTCACCTGACTCCCACAGCTCGCCACACGTCAGCTGCAGAGCATAGTGCTTAGTGGATGACCAGCTTAGAGACAACTACAGCGTTCCATTTCCCCAAGCCATCAATGGGGTTACTCACTTTTTTTGATCTCTTCTAGCTTCTCAATGTATTTTGTCATACTGTTACCTAAAAAGAAAATAATTTTAGGAAAGCTTTAAATGAAAGACAATGAGTACACCTGTGAAAATCAAGTGAAGAGCCAGTACCCCCTCTCCCCCAGCTTGCCTGTCCTATTCCTTTGGGACCTTGGACAGGAGACAAATGTGCCACATACACAATAAGAAGTCTTTTGGATGACACAACATCATTCAAATATATGAAAGCAAAGGTGAAATGTTTTGGTTGAATATGTTTAAGGTGGGGTACATCCTGCCAAACATTTATCAGTCTCAAGAAACACTGATGATATTTTATATCTATCTTTGAATCTTTTTTCTTTTAGGAATCAAGGCTTTCCTCCTTCCTAAATCTCCCCATAATGTGTGTGTGTGTGTGTGTGTGTGTGTGTGTGTGTGTGTGTGTGTGTAAAAATGAGAAGGAGCAAGAAAGAGGCAATGTTCTTTGGCTGTGCAAAAAGTGTCCTTGAGGCTACCCAAGCAACCCTTTCCCCTCCATTTTGTCACCATGGTCACCTCCTCTCCCTGAAATTGGTGTTCTGCTATTCATGCTGATGTTGCAGCCTCAACCAGACCACACAGTCTGGATGTTCTATTCACCATGAACTTGATTTGCTAAGAAATAACAGCAGATTCCCACCACTGTGTGGAGGACCCCGCCCTTATGTTTTATGGTCTGGTTCTACAATAAGAGGTTCTAGCCAAAGTGGTTTGGAGAGCTTTCATACTTTATAACTGCTCCAGGATCATTCTGGTTTCTGAATGAATTCAATTCTAGCTCTCAAGCCAGAAGCTATTATTTTTTTAAAAAAATTGTGCATGCTATGATTTGATTCAATTCAATATACCAAGCTGTATCTGGCACCTGAAAATATGGCAAAAGAAAAACATTCAAAATAATTCCTCATTTCTAAAATCATGCTCCTAACTTTTTAAGTCTTGAGAGGATTTAGATAGACTGACCCAATTTTAGACCAAATAAGTGCTTCCAATTAATGACATTAATTGATACCTAGAAGGACTACTTTGGATAACTCTTTGTGTTTGGGTAAGAAGCAGAGGATGAAAATCCTTGCTCTAAAACACAATATACATTTTTTTTAAAGAAAACACCTTATTATTAATTTTTTTACCATGAATTCATTAGGGAATAAAAATCTAGTTCTTGTTTTGTTTTGTTCATCTTTAGCCATACACAGCCTGTATGAGGACTGGAAAGGAGGATAATCGGGCAATCCTAGACCCAGCTTTGTCCTTCAGAAGCTCCCAGAGACATTCAGTCAGTCAGGGCAGCTTAGGCCTGAGGCTTTCTCAAGGGACAATAAGTATGTCAAAAGAAGGCCCCAACCACCAAAGAATAGGATTAGAACCAAATGTTATCTTTTTTCTAGGTTCTTTAGCTCACAGTTGACCTGAGAAGTGACCAGAACTGTGGGACATCCCTCTTCTCCTATGCAACACTGCAGCTAGGCCTAGACTTGCCTGTTTGACACAATAAGGGTAGAAGATGGCAAGTCAGAATGCTGTCAGCATGCTGTCCAGCTTCTCCCTATCTTATTTTTAGCATATATGACAGAATAGGTCTATGTTCTTGAGTTCTCCCAGTTGAGGACGTGGCACTTATCTGATTGGGTGAGGGAAGCTTCAGGAAGTCCAGTCAGAAAACTTAGAATCAACTAGGCTTACCAATCTGTCCAGTGACTTCCCAGCTTCCTTGTTTCTCATATGGTTCACAAAACACCTGGCTTTTCCAGTTATTATCTTGCTGTCTTTATTACTACTACTATTATTATTATTTGCATTGCTGGAGAGTAATCCCTAGGCCTTATATATTTTATTCTTTTCTTTTTGCTTTTTCTTTTTGCTTATGTGGTGCTGAGGAATCAAACCCAGGGCCTCATGCATGCAAGGCAAGTGCTCTACCACTGAGCCACCTTCCCAGCCCCGGCCTTATATATTTTAGGCAAGCACTCCATCCTAAGCTACACCCACAGCCCTTGCTTTAAAAGCAGGATTATAAGGTAAATTTGTAGGAATTGCTACATCCTTCATCACAATGGATGAGGACCATTTGATGTTATAAATTCCCTAAGGATGGAAAACAACAGCAAACCCTCTTCATGTCATCTTTATTGTTAAAATACTGTATTACCAATCAATAGCAGTTTGACTAAAGAGTGTCTAAAATTAACTGTGACTGTCACAATGCTCTGATGTAAGCTGTCCTGCTCATCATTTGTTTTTCCTACTAAAGAAGAAGGCAGAGGGGCTGGGAAGGTGGCTCAGTGGTAGAGTGCTTGCCTTGCATGCATGAGGCCCTGGGTTCGATTCCTCAGCACCACATAAGCAGAAAAAGCTGGAAGTGGTGCTGTGGCTCAAGTGGTAGAGCACTATCCTTGAGCTGAAGAGCTGAGGGACAGCGCCCAGGCCCAGAGTTCAGGCCTCACGACTGGCAAAAAAAAAAAAAGAAGAAGGAGGCAGAAAAACAAAATCTCTTGCAAAGTTATGCAAATATTTGACAAAAGAACCCACAAATCTAAGGGGGCTAATTAATAAGGAACTCTTTTCATTGTAGACATTCATTCTCTCCAAATATGGGGGAGAAAAGAGAACAGACAATTCCCACATTGCTTCCACTAGAGAAATAAGATGGTTGGATGTCTGCAATCCCTAAAAATGATTTTAGGAAGTATGAAAAGTAGAATTTTACTTTATTTTATACAAAATGTCATATCTTACTGTACCTAATCCTATCAGGAAATAGTTTCTGAACACCTTTTGCAAAGACAGGAAATATATCAACTTCACAATTTATAAACATGTCTTTTATATAAAAGAAGCTCTTAACATAGCAGATAACTAATTTTTTTAAATACTAAATTGTACAGTATTGCCCAAGTTTTCTAGATAAGAAAAACAAGTCAACAGCGCCTCATTGCTTGATGCCTAGTTTTAATTTCTTGCCCAAGTACTGAAGATGGCAACAACCTAACTGCCTCTTCACTCTGGCCTTAATTATTAAACCTGACAAACAGTCTGTGAGTCTCAGGTTCTCTAAAACATCACTTTGTTAAGCTCTTCCTGCTGGAAGTGACCTTTTTCTTTTCTTAACTCCTCCAGCATTCTGCTTGCCACTCACAAGGCATTCATCACGGGCCTTGACTGGGCTGTCTTATCTACCTCATTTGACGGAAAGCCCAAGATTATTTATCCGTGTCCATACACATGTGCGCGTACACACACACACACACACACACACACACACACACGCACAATCTTTATCTCTCCCATTGTCTGGTAGAGGAGACCCTACAAAACAATTTGCTGAGTGAAATCTACCATCCGGATCTACCATTTGAAAACTCCTCATAGCAAGTTATTTTAAAATATAAGTCATCACGCCCAAACTTGGCTTGAGCTTTTCCACACCTGAGTTTCTTCAAAATGTGCACTGCTTGCACATATGTTAATTACATAACATTATATAATGGTATACCCATACCACCCATATTGACTCAGGCAACCTAGACATGTATAAAGTGATATTTATCTTCTAGCTTGTTTACCACTTAAGTTACAATGAAAGCTGTGGAACAAAAGTCTTACAATTAGAATCAAGAGAAAGAAACAACACAACTACATCAATAGTCCTGTGCAAAGGTAGAGTACAATCGATTCACTGAGTAACTCATTCATTAGATTTTTTTCCCAAGTGTTTCTCTAATAACATTATTTGCACTGAATCTGTAAGAAAAGCAAGTGAGTCTGAGAACAGCAATCTAGACTGTGCAAGATTTATAAGGCACGAACTCAGTTGCTAAGAGACAACTTCATGGCTTTATTTTTTCTTCAATATTTCCCTCCTCTACAGCAAAGTTCTTTGGCTCAGAAGGAGCAGAAAGAGTGAAAAGAGACATAGTGGTCCTTTGTTAACCTTAATAAGTTATACGTGTGTGCAGTGCTTTCTGGTTTGTCAAAGCCTTTCCCATATATTTCTTCCTTTGACGTAAGAGACAGAAATAAATACCAAATAAAAGCAAATAACTTGAGCTATTAGAAAATACTCAGGAGAAGATAAAGGAAGAAAAATGGAAATGATTAGTTTGTACAGAGATAACAAAAGGAAGTCGATTTCTACAAAAATTACAATAGGCTAGAAAAGACTAAGTACAAGTCATTAGGAAGAATTTGAGAAGTTAAAGAAATGTAAAACTGGACTTACTACAGACCAAGTGAGAGTGTAATATGGCCAACAAGAATAGAAGGGGCTAATAAGGAAGTGGCTTGTGGTTTGGTTTTAACCATCCTGCAGTGAAGCTCAGTGTGGAAGAACAGAAACCCACAGAGGGCTGGGTTGTGGCTCAAGTGCCAGCCTAGTAAGCTTGAGTACCTAAGTTCAAATCCTAGTACCACCAAAAAGAAAAAAGATTAGAAGATCATGTGAAGCTGGGTACTGTTGGATCATGCCTACTACTCAGGAGGCTGAGATCTGAGGATATACAGGTATACAAATGTGTAAGAGTCTTATCTCTGATTAAACAGGGGGGAAAAAAAAGCCATAAGTGGAAGTATGGCTCAAATGGCATACACCAGTTTTGAGGGGAAAAAAAAAACCCAACAACAACAACAAAAAAAACAAGAACAATGAGGTCCTGAGAGCTCCAGTATGGACACACACACACACACACACACACACACACACACACACACACACACACACGATAATGTGGTAGAGTGCCAGCCTAGAACCCCAGAGAGTGCTGGAAAACCTGGAGAATACACAAGAACCAGTAGTGGTGGCTGACTGAATGCCAGCATAATACCAGAAGCATAATGCACTCCTGGCACAGTCTGGCAACTGTAGATGTTTGTAAGGTGTGTTCAGGAATATAGAACAAAAGAAACGCTACAAGTTCAAAGTAATTTAAAGTAATGCTGGAATTTAGTCACAGCATTAGTTACAGCATGAGAAGTAGAATCAGAAGTATGGAAACAAACAATAATCTTTATGTAGCAGCAGGGTATCAGTCTTTGTAGAATTCAGTAGAAGGTGAGTTGGGTGCAGATGCACTATCATGGAATTCATGAATTTTTGTGTTTAACTCTGAACAGCTCAGAGAAAGGTTGGTTTGGTAGGAAAAGATTAATGTATTTAGCTTAGAAATGGGAACCGCAGGGGGCTGGGAAGGTGGCCCAGTGGTAGAGTGCTTGCCTTGCATGCATGAGGCCCTGGGTTCGATTCCTCAGCACCACATTAGAAAAAAGCCGGAAGTGGTGCTGTGGCTCAAATGGTAGAGCACTAGCCTTGAGCTGAAGAGTTGAGGGACAGCGCCTAGGCCCAGAGTTCAGGCCCCACGACCAGCCCCCCCAAAAAAGAAAATAAATGGGAACCGCACACCGATTTCTGCATTCATTTCTATTGCTCTGACCACATAGCTTTGAAACCTGCAGGAGAGAGAACCTCTCTGTAGCACTTGGATTATGAGGTCTCTTGTGGGTTTTCTTAACCACGATCCCTCAAACTTTTCCCCCTGTGGTACACATGGCAATGATAACATCTAGAAAAAGCACTCGGTCCAGGTTGCCCCAGGCCCTGTTGGTCCCTAAAGGCTGATGTGCTCTGTTATCTTAGTGTATCAACCAAAGGTGCATTATACCAAGTAAGTCACAAAATTGTGTGGGAACGCAATATGACAAGAAGATCTTGCTCTAAATTTGAAACATACACAAAAAAAAACAAACACTAGAATGAGATTTCTCTCCCACGCTGACTTTAAAATACTTTTGGGCTTTAAAGCAGCAAGATATGCTTCACCCTTCCAAAAGCTATTACAAAATTTGTTAGGGGAGACTTTCACTTCTGGGGAAGATAGATAGATGTACTTTACTGCTCCAGTTAAGTACAACAAAAACCTTGAACAACCCACAAAATGGGAGAAAATGCTCACAAATCATATTTCTGATAAGGGTCTAGTATCCACAATAAAATACAAAACGCTTACAATAAAAATAGCCCAAGTTAAGAATAAGCAAAAGATCTGAATGGACATTTCTCCACAGAGATAAATGCTGGGAAGCACATTAAAAGGTGCTTGACATCAATAGTCATTAGGAACATGCTGATCAAAATCATAATAAGACACTATTTCACACCCACAATGGTGACTAGGATCAAAATGACAGACAACAGCCACCATTAGCGAGGATGTGGGGGAAGAGAGCTCTCCCACACTGCTGATGGGAATGTAAAGTAGTGTGGCTATTTTGGAAAATGGTTTAGCAGCTCCTCAAAAAATTAAACATGGAATACCATATGACCAGCAACTCAGCTCCTCAGTATATACCCAAGGGAACTAAAAACACATGTTCACACGGAAAACTTGTATACACTGATGCTCTCAGAAGTACTATGGTCAGAAAGTGTAAACAATCCAAATGTCCGTCAACTCATGAGTACACAAACAAAATATGGAAGATTTTGAAAACAGAATATTATTTGGCAATAAAAAGGAATGAACAACAGATGCAAGCTACAATGTAGATGAACACTGGAAGCAGTACATTAAGTAAAAGGAGTAGGTACAAAGGCTATCTATTGTATGAGTCCACTTATATGATTGCCCATGATAGGCAGGTCCACAGAGATAGAAAACATATGAATAGTTCTTAGCATAGTAAAGATGTCAATTCTTCCCAGAATGATAAATGACTCCTATCAAAATCATAGCAAGATCTGTAAATCTAAGTAAGAATATTCTGATATTCGGAAAAGAAAAGGAATTAGAATAGCTAAAGTACTTTTGTAAAGAAAAAGTGAGAAGAATTATTATTACTATTATTATTATTATTTGCATAGGCAAAAAGTTCATGAGATTCTATCTCAACCCCTAGCTAGGTACAGTGGTACATTTCCACTATCCCACCTATGTGGGAGACTGAAATAAAGAAGACCATGGTTCCAAGAAAATCCAGGAAAAAAAGTTTACAAGATCTCCTCTCAACAGAAAAAAGGCCAGGCATGGTAATATGCACCTGTCATCCTGGATACAGCAGGAAGCATAAATAGGAGGATTTCAGTGCAGGCCAGCCAGGACAAAAAGAAAGATCCTACCTCAAAAACCAGACCACAAAGGAGAAATGGGTCAGGTAGTAGCATAGCAAACATGAAGCACTAAGTTAAAGGGAAAAAAGAAAGAAAAAAGTTATTACAGAAAAATATAATTGAGACATAGGGTAGGGAATTAGTTTTTAAAATTAATAATAGAATCATGATCCCTAAAAGGAAGTACTGAAAAAAATGAAAACTTTGGTTCTTGAAAAGATCCTCTTAGAGAAGATGACTTATCTCTTTTATTCAAGTATTTATTGAGATACTTGCACACTACATATCTCAGTAATTAGCTAATAGCAAATAAATATAAGAAACTGTCAAAATTTAACAGTAAAAAGGTAAACAATTCAATTACAATAGGCAAATACATGAATAGTCATTTCTCCAATGAAGGCAGAACAGAAAACAAATCACATATGAAGATGTTCATGAGCTGCCATGAGGGAAGTTTAAAACTTCAGTGATCTATCACTATACCTCTATCTGAATGGCTAAAAATAATAACAACAACAACAACAAAAAAGATGATAGCCCCAAATTCACAAAGGATGCAAAGAAATGGTAAATGCCATCCATTGCTGATGGCAATGTAAAATAGTACAGCCACTGTGGAAAATAATCGGGCAGTTTCTTTAAAACAACAACAACAACAACAACTATAATACCAAACTGCCATTTGATCCAGGGCACACAAAGATAGTTACATTAATTTTTATATCACTTCTATTTGTAATAGCCCAAAATGGAAATAAGATAATATCATTCAACAGGTAAATGGGTAACAGTTGAAGGATCTGGAATTCCCTAATACAGGGAACACTAGCCAGTAATACAAAGAAACAAACTAGTGATATGCTGTAGGTTCCACCTGCAGAAGCAAAACAAACACACAAACCAATCTCAAAGGATATACACTGTATGATTCCTTATACACACAATTTGTGAAAGACAGAGATAGAAGTGAGAACATAAAAGGTTCTGGAGGTTAGAGAAAGAAAACAGACATGACTAGCAAAAGACAGCATAAGGAATCCTTGTGGTTACCAAAGTGTTCTATACTATGAACTATGTATCAATGTCAATATCACAATTTTGACTGGGGCAGTATAGTTTTATAAGAGGTTGCCACTGTGGGAAACCAGGCAAAGACTACCTAGAATTCCTTTCTTTATTTTTGTAATGTTAGGAATCAAACCCAGGCCCCACACATACTAGGCAAGTATTCCACCATGAAGATATATATCCCAAGCATTTAAAGACTTAAAATTTGTCACTGCAAGGAGGTGTAAAGGTTGCAAATGAAATTCACTTTTATGGTTCCCTTTAAAAATCATATATAGACTTTGGAACTTTAAGTTGAGCTGTGTACTTCCCAGAATCACATCTTTCAAAGGTTGCAATTAAGAGGGATCTGGGTGCAGATGGAGTTGCTGATAGTTGTGGCAGAATAAAGAAAGATGAGGGGAAAGACAGGGCAGAACAGACTAAGAGACAGTACACTGAGCTGCACCTGCTCTCCAGGATTAATTCCTCACCCTGAAAGCAATCCTAGTTTTATCTCCTTTATTGAACTCAACTAAATCACAAAATCTCCTGGCTACAATTTCCTCTTCCTCTAAAACACTGATAATATTTTCATCTGCCCATCAAACAGGATATTTGCAAGGATAAATATCTGTATGGCAGGAAAAGGTTTAAAAGGAAGATATCAAGAAATACTATCTGCAAAAGTGATACATTCAATTTGTCTATGTTATTGATGGAAAACAATGCCTTTGAAGGAGACTGGAAAAACAGAAAGAGAAAATAAAGATTATGATTAAAACAAAGGCAACACTCTCCTTTCCTTTCCTCTGTCTTAAAGCACGGGTGGAAAGTTCAGTACTGAAAAACAGAGAGTCCCTCAATACACCAGCAAAACCATCTTAGCCAGATTGATTTTGCACAGAAGCCTTTAAAAGGCTGAAAAAAAAATAACCAAACAATCCAAACTTCACGAGACTGCAAATCTACTAGGATCTGGACAGCGTCCTTATCACCACAGTGAGAGATGTGAATAGCATGGAAATTGGCTTTCACCTGACTGAAGCACTAATTAAATTTTGTCTGGCACTGTAGTTACTCAGTCAAGTCAGTCTGCATCCACTTGAACTGAAGATCTTTAATTGTAAAAGCCACAATCCACAGTGAACTGAACAAACATGTACTTGTGTAATCTATTACAGTCACTCTGAAGGAATATATTTGAGGTATCCAAAATAAATGACCTGATATTTCTTTAGAATCAGCCCTACACTTAGAGAGTAGGTTTCAATTCTTGGGATTTCATTTCTTTAATTTCTACTATTTCTATATTTTGATTATTTAGGAATAAACTAAATTATGTGAATACAAATTTTTTTTACTGATAATCTGAAAACTTTTTTTTTTGGTCAGTTATGGGGCTTGAACTAGGGGTCTAGATGCTGTCCTTGAGCTCTTTTGTTCAAGGCTAGCACCTACCACTTTAAACCACAGCACCACTTCTGGTTTTCTGGTAGGTAATTGGAGATGAGTCTTACGGACTTTCCTACTTAGGCTGGCTTTGAACTGCGATCCTCAGATCTCAGCCTTCAGAGTAGCTAGGATTATAGGCATGAGTCACCGGCCCCTGGCATGAAAAATGACATCTGAAGATGAATTTGAGCCCTGAGAGATTGGGCAAGATAATAAGAAAACGCTATCTGTGTTTTGTATCAGGCTTGATAGTCTACTCCTTGTCAGTAATTAGCTTTTGGACAATTTTTTAAATCTTCTAACTTTACTCACCAGTGTCCAGTCTTGATTTGACATGCTGATATTTTGGATTCTGTGGTATCCTTTTGGTCAGATACTACAAAATGAGAAAATTCAAAATTAAACAGGTTAATATAAGGTAAGGGTGGCAATCAGGTGAGTATCAGATACTTTAAAAAAATGCAACAAATGCTAAATTATCACAAACTGAAAAGATGAGTGCTAGAGAGCCAGCTGTCCTTTAGATCATGACTCTTCACAATGGCACTTCCTTACAGGAAGACAGTTACCTAGTTTCTGTCAAAATACTTCCTTTTTTTAAAAATCAAAATCTCAGAGCAATATGTGATAAGGAAAAAAACTCTTTAAAAAATGATCTCTCGCTACGAATTTAAAATTGATCTCCCTTCAGTTTTTCCAGTCTACCATTGCAAACCAACATAAAGAAATTTATTAAAACAAAAAAGGATGTTGTCCTATCCCTCTTTTTAATCATGATCTTAATGAGCTTCTAGACCATCTCCTCAGGACACTTCCAGATTTTATCTATAGCTCTCCTAAAAACATGGCAGGCAGGCCCAGATGCTCCAGATGTTGAGCCTGGCAGGCTCACATTGAGCTCTACAGATGTCACTGCTGTGGCATCTGCTCTTGTGGCAGCTGAGGCTCATCTCCAGCTTAGGGCAAGTTGAGTCTCTGAATCCAATCATAAGACAGTAAATTCTTATGGTGAATGTAAAATCCATTAAGGGAGGAAAGGCTATAAGCACAAAGGCATTGTAACATATAGCTTTCTTGCTTTTTTTTTCTGACTTACAAATATAAAAATCACATATGTTAAGTACTGGTAGCTATGGAATACAAGATTAAAACTGGGTACTCCTTTTCCAATTTTATCTTCTGCACACGTTCCCATGTTGAAGTGGCACAGAATGTCCCTCTATAATATATCCAGTTTTTCCAGATGCCTGCCTAGAATACTTTTTCTCAACTTGGACAAAATATTTCTTCTGTAGAATCAGGTACATTTTCTCCCTGGGCTCCCTGTCTATCCTGTTTCTACTAGATCTTTGTTCCTGGTGGAGAATTTTCTTAAAAGGGAGAAATATTGACTTTCTTAGATTTGTATTCAACATGGACCTACTATATGCTAAGTATATTTATTGCTAATTAGTCTATAAATGAAAAACTTGGAATTATACTACAACTATTTGGTTCCTTAGGAGATAGCTCCAAACTTAACCAAAAAGTACAGCACTTGCCTTGGAAAATAGTAATTGCCCTCTTGGGAGGACTGAAAAAAAAATCACTTACATATCAAAATACCTCTTCAAATGATCTATAAAGTATAAAAATAGCCTAGAATTCTTCTATGTTTTATACCTACAGAGTTATCAACTTTTAATTTTGCCAAGGATGGAAAGAAGAAAAAAATACAAAGTCAAACCTCACAATTAACATCTGCTATTTTTTTTTAAAAAAGAATTTTGTCCAGGATGAAGTTTGTATTTTTTTTTACCTACTACATAAGAACATAAACCATCTGCTACGTTTTTGTTTTTGGAGGGGGCAGCGGTGGAGATCAAATTGAGGGCCTCACACATGCTAGGCAAATGTTCTACTATTGGGCTTTACCCTAATCCCACCATCTGCTACCTTAATATCTAAAAGGTAAAACAGGGGGGAAAAAAAAACCTATGTAGAAAGGTCAGTTCTTTATGCTGTTATTAAAACATTGAATTTTAATTCGTTGCCTGAAAATTTCACTTCACACCAGGAAGATAAAACGTTTCTTATGACCACTTAGCACTGGTTCTTCAATTGTGTTTTATGTTTGAAAAAAGATGGAAATGGCACTTCCCATTCTGATCACTAACCTGCTATCTGTAAGAGAAAATGACTACAAAATTAATCTCAATCCTTCTCCAGAGGTTGGAGATGATTCTGAAGTAAGAGAAGGAAAATATACAAAAACTGCAAAGGTAGGGTAAGACAATAGCAGGGTAAAATGAAACGAACAGTAAACTGAATCAAAGAAAAGTGATACTAGATTCAATTATCTGAAGCTGACAGATTTTCTTTTTTTGGCACACTCTGTATTTTTATCATTTCTATACCCTATTTCCTGTTTTCAAGCTTTTGTTTTGGTTTTCCCGCCAGTTCCCTAGCAAAGCCTCTTTTGAAAAATTCCAGGCTAGTCTCTGCTGAACCAAGGGGATTTGTCCTTACCTAAGCCAAAATAGCTAAGAAGTGAGGGTGTCTCTGGGGACCAGGTGTGGTGGCGGCAGAATGATGAGGGGAGAGGGTGTGGACAGCTGCACGCCTGAGCCCTCCCGCCCCCGCTTTTCCCTTACATGGACTAATGAGAAATCCATATGGTGCCGGAGAAAAATGTAGTGTTTCTCTGGCGTGTTCCCATTTCAGTTCAATTTCTTACTCCAGACTTTCTGGGACCAACCACAATGGAAAGCTGTTTGTGTTCCACCGCCAGCAGAGCACCATGGGTTTTATGGAAGGACTACACTTCCTTCTTAAATTCTTGCTGTTGAGGTGATTGCCTCTTGACCTAATGACTGGCTGGCTTGCTTTCAATGACATAAACAGAGGGGACTGGTGGAGAGTAAAGGGACTGGGAAAAGGAGCTGTTCCAAGGAAGATTATTCATTTGTTCAATGAAGATGTATTGAACACCAACCACCACTCAGTTGATGTTTATTACTGAGGACCTACTAGAAGTTGGTTCCTGTGGGAGAAGAGTTAAAAATCACTCCTTACCATCAGTTTTCACTTATCACTAGATATATAGATGGCAGACTGCAAGATAAACATGGACAAGGAAGTAGGGCTGTGGTGGGAACTGAAGATTGGTACCAAATGCACACTGAGTATCAAAAACTGTTTTCTAAAGGTGTCTGATGAGCTCAGTTCTGAAGGCTATTGAAATTTTTGAAAGACAAGAGACATGATTGGGCGATACAGAGTCCGGCAGAGAGAAAAATATAGAAAAAGCCTGGAGACTAGAGAAAGCATAGACAACTTCAAGGAATCTGGCAGTAACTGGTATATGGATATAGCGCTGGTGTAAGGCAGGGTGGCCATGAACGATGCTAGAGAGGCAGACAGGTCACAAAGGGCCTTGTGGCCATGCTAAGACCATTTCCATTTTGTCCTATTGATGAGTGGATCTCAAGCAGGATACAATTTTGCCAACTTTAAGCCTACAAGACATTTGTCAAAGTCTGTAGACATTTGGGGTTATCACAACTGTAGGGTGGAGGCTGCTACTAGCATCTTGTGGGTAGAGACATGGGATTCAGGACAGACCCCTACAACAAAGAAACAGCCTGAATGTGAATAATGCTGAAGTTGAGAAACCCCCATTAAAGGTTTAGGCATGAATGATGACATTATATTTCTGTTTTAGGAAGATTACTCTGGCAGCAATATGATCACATTCAAGAAAGGAGGAAATAAAGCCAGCTAAAAGGCTGTGGCATGAAGAGGATCTGAAGTACTAAGTGGCAAGAGAGAGGAAGAGGAAAAGACAGTTTGCAGAAACCAATGTAAAGTGTGAAATCAATATAATTATCCACAGATGACTGTAAAAGTGGCACCATGCCCCCCCAAAAAAACTGAAAGAGAAAGCATACGAAGAAAAAGTGATGTATATAATTCAGGGCATATCAAGTACAAAACAGGTTGGGTGGTTTATCTAAAATGCAAGTGTCCAGCTGGCTATACGGACCTGGAACTCAAGGGAGAAAGAGCTGGCCTGGGGGGACAAAGAGAGATAATGCTATGGGAATGACCACAATACTCCAGGATATAATGTAGACTGAGATGAAAAGCCTCAACACTGTAGATCAGGTGAAGAAGAAGCACCTGGGTGGAGACTCAGAAGAAGCCTCAAAAAAGTGGGTCAGAAAAATCTGAGAAAAACTGCAGGAAGAAGGCAGCAGTCAACAGGGAACAATGCTGCCATGTCTGAGAACAAGAGGTCAAGAATGGACAGGCAAACAAGAATGCAGGTCAAGTAAGAGAACAGGAAAGTGTATTTGGATTTAGCAAAGCAGGGCATTGTTGATGGCCGGGATGGAAGCAGTTAGAGGAAATGGACAAGGACAGAAGCAAAAAAAACAGCAGGTTGTGTGCAAGAGAAGGGAGGAAGGAAGAAAAGAACAGGATTGTAAGAAGGCTGACCCTCATTGTGGTTTTCCTTTCAGGCAGTTGCTGAGGGACTCTCTATTGTCTGTTTTGTTTGGGAGAGCTGGAAGATAGGAGAAAAGAAGGAAGGGGAAGCAAGGGGAGGGGAAGAGAAGAGAGGGGAAGGAAATACAGGGGACAAGAGAGATATTGAGATTCCTGGAGGGGCAGGGAAACTTTTATTCTGCCAAGGGCCATTTGGGTATTTATAATAATATTCAAGGACTATACAAAATTGTTAATACAGGCAGACAGACTGTAGAAGGGCATGTAAAGCCAACTAGAAGCAGATGTTTTTATCCTATCATGTACCAAATGATTTTATGGGCCTTATATGGCCCATGTGCCAGACATTCCCCAGAGCCCAGATTTTTTTTTTTAGGGAGGGGGGAATTTGGATAAATACTTAAAAATCAAGAAGGTACTCATAATAAGGAAGTTGAGAAAATTCTCATTTGTGCATTATTACAGACTCTGTGAGAACCAGAAATGTCAATAGCCCTTAGAAGACTATATCCTCTAGGGAGGCCCCAGAGATAATGTCCTCCCTATATACCCTTCCTACCAACTATTCAACTTGTACTGACTTCCAAGCTCAACACAAACTTATCTTTTGGGAAACCTCCTCTGAAGTCCCTAACCAGATAAATATCTCTTCCCTGTCTGCATTTTACCACTCCTTGTACCATTAGAACTTCTCACTCCCTGTTCTTGGGACAGGGCTGTGCTCTGTACATCTGTATAACTGTTATGAAGTCTTGTCCCAGATTCAACCATACTACTGCCAAAGAAAGATCTGAAGCCAGGCTCATGTCTGTAAACCCAGCTACTCTGAAGCATTAGTCAGGAGGACTGTGAGTCTGAGGCCAGCCTAAGCAACTCTGCGAAGGCAGA